CGGTTATTGTTCTTTGTTCGCATTGTTTATTATCTTTACTTGTTTGTGGGGCTGATTGTCGCTACGGACTCCGCTGCGTCTGTCTGTTCGTTTTATTCGACTGATATGTCCCCATCCTGTTATACACTTCCACCAATTTGTCCTTGTTGGTGGAGATAGCACAATATGCATTTGTTTGGAAACATGTTGAGTGTTAACCGACTTAGTAAAAGGAGAAGGTGTATTTTTTTTCAACTGACGACTTCCATGAATTAATGCATGCAGAGGTCCGTGATTTCATTTACTTATTTTTGTTTAAAGATACTTAAAGACAGTGTATATATTTTCCTTTTACAGGGCACGGGTCATTTCTTAAGCCACGTGCTCCACGTTGTTTCAATGTCGCTACGGGACTTGATAAGTTTTTTAAGAGTTGGGATCTTTCATCGACGCGTTTTATTACGATATTTTGCCTCACTCTTAGCGCAAAGATTTAAGTTTACCAGTGTACGTAATTTAGAAATCAAAGTCCTAGGTACATGCCACGATAGGGATTCGAACCTCTAACTTCTCACTGGTGAGATAATTTAGTAGCACCAGAGCCCCGAGTTCGTCCGGGGAAGTACTGCCACCTTAGCTATTTCTGCCGCCAAGCAGTAATGTGATCATAACTGCGTTCCGGCTTTGAAGGGTAAGGGTTCTGGTGAAATTACAGGCACATGAGACTTGTCAACTTACGTCTCAGGGTGACGGGCGCAGTGGCAGTGACCCCTAGATCTTTGCGATTTAAAGTTCCGAGTGGCACTGCAACTGTTATGGATAGATAGGCTTGTCGCTTACCATCAGGCGCACGACTTATTCGTCCCGTCACTTGGTACTATAAAAACAAAATAAGTGTACCACCGCTCTTAGTTCAGACTTCACATCTCGCAGTTGAGTTTAATAAACCTTCTCTAACTTTAAAGTTTTCATCGTGACGAGGAGTGCATTCAGTTTATTTTGAATCAGTTTGCGTCTTTGCACGCTATTTGCACTCCATTGTAGGTAGCGTGATTGTGTTTTCGCATTGTTGTTTATAAACAATTTATACGTTAAACTATTTGCAATATTTATTTTTATTGCATATCGTCATGTTTTTACTACTCTGATAATGTTTTTGTGAAAATACAACAAACATAAAGAAAAATTCATTCGGTCTGACTGGACTCAAACCAGTGTCGGTTGCCTCAACGTGTTCGTGTTGTGTTTAAAAAGTTAATATTGAACTTGCTTAAAAATGTGTAAACTTATTTCCAATTTAATTGTAAATTAAATCCATTGAATGTCAGGACGTTTCACCATCATGGTATTCAATTTTTTTTGTGAAATTACTCCACTAGTTTATTATAATTAATAAAATAAAGATCGAACACTTAGAAAAAATCGAACGAATTTTTTTTAAATTTTAGAAATTTTTTTAATGTATTTATTAGCCTTAGAATACCTTATGTATACAATATTACTTGTTATAATAATTATTTTTTCACTTCTCATGCTCTTATTTATGCTGGGTGTTGGCTGCATAAAATAGGATTTTATGCTCTAGTGCATAAAATAAAAAAACCATCACATTAAATATGTCTTATTGTTGTAATTTTCAATTCAATTTTAATTAAATAATCGTTTATTTGTAATATTGCTATTTAATTTCCTCGCAATCGAAGTGAAAAGCAGAGTGTATAACTCGTTCATAAAACCCGTTTTACCCTCGACTTAAGCATATTCACTTGTTAATCACTTATAACTTATAATTCACTTGCTAATCATATTTATTAGATAAGCATATACATAAGCATGTAATCGACTGATATGAATCCATGGTAACTTGGTTGTGTTCAGTCACGTAAATTCAATTGACACAAAAGCCTTTATCCACTCTTCAGAGAGTATTAATAAAATTTCCTTTTTATTACTCACATCGGAAGGCATTGACTCGTGGAACTTGTTTCCACTTCTGTGGTTACTTGCGTACATTCTTATCGTGATCACATAACGCTGCTATAATATACTTGATTGGTCTTTGTAGGTATTTTTCTTCTGTTGTTAATAATAAGTAGGTGGAATGCCGATTCCGTACAGAAGCGCAGTAGTCTTTTGTTTTTCTTTTTTTTTTTAAACAGTTCTGTGCATTTACGCGCGCAAAATTTAACTTTGGAATATTTTTCCCACAGACTTAGTATGGTGACTTTTGACCTCAAATCTTCGGCCACAGATCGAAATTCAAAATTTGAATGTGGAATCATATTTTTCACTTCTCATGCTCTTATGCCAATATAGCGTTACGTAACGGGAGTAAAGTGCATCCTTTATTTCGTAGAGAGTAAAAAGTACCTAATTTTTTAATTTACTTCGAGTGAACAAACTCAAACAGCCGGTACTACGCTCGGTTTTAGTTTCGTGCCTTTTCAGCATAGACGATAGCGCCATATTATTATTTTACCGCGTTATTGCGTTTGTTGTATCTGTGTCTGGTTGGAAAAAAATACCGCGAAAATTTCAGAATTTCTGGTCGTAATTTTTTTGTAAAGCGAAAATGATTGATTTTTTTCTGGCAATCGAAGTGAAAAGTCAAGTTTTGATCTCGAAACTAGAACCAATGTAAACACTCGTAGTAATAGACGCCCTGATTAAGGCTCGAGTGTCTAACCACCTCGGGTAAATACATTGGTTCGTGTTAGTCCCTCGATAAAAAATACACTATTTTATGCTAGTATCAAATTTCTTGCATATCGGTTGTGGAATAGGCGAGCAGGATTCGAAATTATCAAGATTTTAATTTTTCACTCCTGGCACTTGGCTCCCTGCCTGTAATCCTATGGGATTCATGAGTAATGTTTTCGCGGCTATTGACAATTATCCGATTTTGTCTATTTAATTGATGAATGCTGATGATAAATGAATGAGTGTGTGCGTGTGTATGCGTTCATTTTTGTCTAAAAGTGACAAACTCTCTCAATTATTCTTGAGTTCATTTTTGATATCGTAACATTACGTAACGACATTATGTCAATTTGTATATCCGACAAAGCTACTTAAATTTGAGATAACATCGTTTTATAGTATTTCGTATGATTGTTTTTTGTGATAAAAGTAAATAAGGGGAGCAGAGTTCTATATTTTTGCTGTTCAACAGCAGACTATTAGATTTTATAAATGTAGCAAAACCACAAGGCTTGAAGCATAGCTGAAGTGCGAAAGTACATGCATACATTTGCTCTTATCTTCAGAACGGTAATTTATAATTAGAAGTACAAAGGGCATGACAATACATTGCCAACATTCATGTGAAATATTAATGTCCATGTATAGGTATTATAAGAATAATAATAATAACGGACTTACAGTAATTTAACTGGTCACAAACTAGAGCATGCCCTGAGTGTCAGAGCTACGGAATTTATTCCGGCACACTACCCAGAACACCCCGACCGAAGTTTTGAAAACTTAATTTCCCAAACTGTTCCCACCGGGAATCGAGCCCGGGACTTCCACATGCAGTGCCCACAGGGCCCACCGTTGGGCCACCGAGGTAGTCAGCTCAAATAACTGTTTCAAAATGTGAATAAATGAAATTAAACTTACTTTTAAAATACTATTACCATAATCTCAATATAGAGTACTAAAAAAACCGACCTCGAAAGTTTGTGGAATTACATCTAATTGCCAAGTTTTATTGAAATCGGTTACCGGAAAGTGCGCAAAACCGGATTCATCCTCTAGTTCGCCACTATACGGGACTTAACACAGGAGATAATAAAACTCTCACTGCTTAAACAGAGACGAACGCTTTGACAGAGAGAAACGCCTTCAATTAGAGCATAGCAAAATCAACCGAATATAATTGTTCCTTATAAAATTTAGGCGCTATTTATAAAAATAAATGTTCATGCGTGAACAGCCACCCTTAGAGGTGGAATATTTTCTTCAAAATTAAATGGGACCACTACACAGAGGTACCCTCTTTCCAATAAAAATCATCAAAATCGGTTCACGATGCGTGTTATCGCGTAATATATGTACAAAAAAAACATACAGTCCAATTGAGAACCTTCCCTTTTTCATTTACGTATAATTAGTTATACTAATTTGAAATGCAATTAAATGCATAGACCAAATATGATATTCAATTAATTGTACTTTTGCTTGCAGCTTGAGTACAGATTATCTAATTTCACTTAAAATCTATGTAATATTAAATAACCATTAACGTATTTCCACATTAAGAAACGTAAAGTGCTTAGCAAACGCAAGGAGAGGTTTTTTTATAATGTAGAGTAACACAATTACTTTGTTAGGTATTTGGGAAAAGATCGTGAAGTGTGTTTATTTATGAAAGATATCGATAGATATATATAGGCCTTGTACTCTCGTGCTCCGTCCGAAACAATTACTATCAAATAAGTAATACTCGACCGAATTAAAAAAGCCATGATGCGAATAAAGGTTCATACTTGACATTGTGTTTTAATTTGGTCTAGTGTTAATTATTTGACGTTTATTATTTCGGACGGATGTGGGACGAATAACGAGAGTAGCCCCCTGATGCAGTCAGGAAGTACAAAACCGTCGGTCTCAAACGACTGAGATATCTACAGATAGGTTTTGATTTATCTTACACTAATTCAGAAAAGAGTGTTTTTTAAACAGCTGAACTTATCCTCATTACACGTAGCTGAGATCAGAACCATTCCGATTAAATTAGCTTTCAGTCCTTCCGTTTGGAGACGACGATGCCACAGACATATTTTGTGTCGGGATTAATAAAATGGATCAATGCCATCTAGCGGGTTTTGGTGGAACTACTACTCAATCCCTTTTACAAGAAATTAAAACAAAATGACAAAAATTTAAAAACTGAAATAACACTTGCTTCCCGTGATTGCTTGTCATATTGCCATTGTGAACATTTTCTTCTAAATTTGTCGTAATTCGTTAATTGGCTTACTTCAGATGTATTAAACTAGTGCTCTCGTTGCTTCCAGATACATAACTACGGTCAGAGTATCAGAGCAGCAGCCATATCAAGTGAAAGAATACGCTTGGTGCTTCAACTTCCCACCGCGATGTTCAAAATACAAAATAAAGTTCCAGCAAATATTCAAGACTCAGACGCTGGTGAAACACCGACCGGTACAAGAGTGCTGTACGGGCTATGCGCCGGACTCGAAGGGGACGCAGTGCTTGCCTGTTTGTGCCGATAAATGCGTACACGGGAAATGTATTGCTCCAAAGACGTGCGCGTGCGACCATGGATTTGGTGGACCTGCTTGCGATGTTTGTGAGTATCATATATTTACAAAATTATCCACTTTATTTTCTTCGTTAAGCTCACCCTAGAATCTCGGAGAGAAAACCCCGAGAACACCCGAGGAGTTTGAATGGTTTCTCGCCGTCTCATTGCCCGATTTTAATGCTTTCTCAGATAAGAAAGAGAGCATTACCGCATTCCGGTTTTGAAGGGTCAGGGTGCTGGTGAAATTACAGGCACGTGGTACTTGTCGACTTATGTCTCAGGGTGACGGACGCAGTGGTAGTGCCCCTCAGATCTTTGCGATTTGAAGCCCTGAGTGGCATTGCAACTATTATGGACAGGCATGTCGCTTACAACTACCCACACTACTTGTTCGTCCTGTCATTCTGTATCATAAAAAAGAAAACATTCTTGCTCGATCTCAGTGCGACGTGGGAAGTTGCGTTAATTTTATTTCGAAGAATTTGCGTCATGTATCATCATCTGGGGTTTCTCTTTTTTCTTATTTTTTTTTCTAATTTTAATATTTAATGCATAAAATATCAAAACCCCTGTCAAAGTCGTCCATACTGATAGAGACGAGAACATAAATGAGATATCCTCAGGGTGGACAACACCGTGTGGCCGTAAGACGTCTTGGCGAACCTTTTTGCCGTGTTTTGGTAGGCCCTATTAGACTTTCATGACTTCTGGTACCAGTAGTGCGATTCATGTAAGTTCAAGCTATCAAAATATCGTTGAAGTTACGTAGTCGTTCGTACGAAGTCCTATTCAAAATGGCTATTCACGTATCACTTGAACGAACGTTGAAATGAATAGAATCGAAACGTACCGACTAATTAACGACATCTTGGATTGGGAAATTTGACATTTAGTCGTCGAAAGTCTATTGAAAGAACTGTCAAAATTTTAGCTGAATACGCATTGACCTATCAACAAATGGACATCGGGTCTAATACAAAAACCACGAAAAAATTCTCCAAGGTACCTATACAAACGTAGTGTGACATGTAACGAAATATAAAAAACTAAAACATTTAATTTAAGTTGTAACGTCATTGCAGTACTGCCTAAATTTGCTTACAACAATTTAAGGGCCCAAAAACACCATATTCAGCTTCTACTGGAAACTTAACAAAATGCACCATATTTAGCTTCGACTGAAAATTACTTGAACGCAAGAGTAATGGAATAGCCTTTCTCGTAAATATTGATTAATTTTTTTATATATATTATTATGTCGAATTTTGTACAAATTCACTTAAAGGTATAATAAAGAATTGGGCAGATACATACATACAATTATTACTACAAATGTGAAAATAAGCGTGTACTATGAGAAATGTACCGATATTGTAACTAAACGTAAACTCAAATATCCGTAATTCCGATTTATAACAAAAGCGTTACGCTTTCGAGTAATTTTGATGCTTTTTACATAGACAAAATTAGCTTTTGTTTTGTAATCTTCGTAAAAACACATTATGAAAATTCGAGCTAATGTTATTTCGGGCAAATGTATTTTTTGACTTCTGATAGGTAATCCCATGCCGTAAAACGAGTACAACAATATTTTGTTAGTTATTGCCTTATTGCTAACGTTTAATTAAAAAATAATTTTAAAAATAGGATTAAAATCAAAGCAACTCTACAATTTCTTTGTTCTAAATATTTCAATCGCTTGTGGTTCGAACAATTGAAAATGACCAAAAAGTTTATATAAGCTTCTTGAAACTGACTCTGTCTCTTTCCATCTTTTGCGCATGCAATGAGTAGAAAAAGGACACTTACTTATTTCATTATGTCGTGTGCATTTGTAATTTTTATTTACGATTCAGTTATATATAAATTAAATACTATAACACTGTACAAAATAACATTTTTAAATGACAACTATGACAACACAATATATTTGTTTAGTGAAAATATGATACAAAATCCTGTTTTCACACTTTACTGCAGTAATTTTACCGCGCTGTCACTCGAACAAACGAAGACTATTGCGCGATTGACGCTCTGTATGCAATTGTAACGCCCTACAGGTGCGGACACTTTTTAGCGCGAACCCGACGTCCATTTATTGGTAGGTCAATGAGAATACGTATGACTTGTCGTTTGGAGTCGATTTAAGTTCGATTCATATACCAGAATACGCTTTAACGACATTTGGATCGAACGACTTTAAAATTGGACTCGTTGACGTCCACTGTCACACGTGAATACGAAAAAGCAGTTCAACGAGTAAATCGCTTTGATATCGTAACGGTTTGAATCACCTCACAGCTTCTTCTGTGTTCGGCTCTTGGCTGATGTTGTTTATTGGCTGTCCAGTGAGAATCTTCATCTTGATCGGACAAACTTGCCTGTGACGAAAATAACTGCGCTTTCGGAAGATGGAAAGTTTTATTCGTCTAGCTAAAATACATATAGACATACTCATGTCTGTCTTGTAATTATATATAAATCGATCACGATGGTCTTAAACGAAGTATATATTTTGCTTGATTCTTCCTGATGAGTGCGGCAAAGGAATAACGAACTACCTTCATCTGTGTTTCCCGAAAACATCAATTAATCGGTCGTTTAACATCAGGTGTGTCTCTGTTTTATGTAAAACGTCTGGCATGTGTCTGTTTTATATAAAATAAAAGCCTGTGCTCAGTTACGGGACAGTGAAAGGATCGTTAAAAATAACGCAGTTTCAGTGGGCTGTACAATTTGCACCGCTTGCGCAGTGTAGAGTGAGCGTGCTATAAATAGGATGTAGCCTACATTCCCATTTACTTTCAATGTCACTGTTCAACGTTTCAGTATTTAACTGAAAAACGATAATAGTTCTTGGTTTCTTAACACTGAGCACTATTTTATTCTTCCCTCGATATCTAAAACCGGTTCCTATGTAATTAAAGTCTTCAAGTCTACGTCATATATACGGTGGTTTTACTTAACGGAGTCATGTACCACTAATACATCTTACTACAATACAAAAACCCTTAAGGTGGTAAGGCCGATAGTATGTCTTTTGGGGATACACCTCACGTTAGAGAAGTGACACCACGAGACTGGTACAGCAGCAAACAATGACATTTAGCCGCCATTTAACTCCCAGTACAAAACGCAAACACACAATACTACTATTGTGGGTAAATGACAAAAGATTAGTTGTTTTAAAAACATTGCTTGTTTGGTTCTGCGTACATCAAACTTACCATTTGGGAATAACCAAGTTACAAACCTGTGAAATGAAATGATGTGGGGAAATGTGGTATGATAGTATGATTTTTTTAAATCGGTATCATGCTTATATTATCTGAATAACAACATTATAACTTTAACTTCTAATATTCATCGCGATGTGTGCGCGTTATTTATATGTCCCACTGCTGGGCGCGGGTCTCCTCTCAGGCAAGGTCCCAATGCGGATTGGGGAAGTCACGTTTTCCGAGGGTTGTTTTTTGTGTTACCTTTTGCGACATGCAGGTTTCGTCACGATGTGTCTCTTCACCGAAAAATTCATGATAAACTTCTAATTGAATTTCGCACATAAATTTCGAAAACTCAGAGGTGCGAGTCCGGGTTCGAACCCACGGCCTCTGCTTGAAAGGCAATAAAGTAAAAACCACTAGGCTACCATGGCCCTCTAATAGTCATAACTTTCAAAAACAGAATTAACGTGTTTCCTTGTTTCTAAATAAATAAATAAATAAATGACGCGCACACTCAACATAGCCCCGCACTAGGGAAACCCTGTGTCGCGGGTGCCATGGACACACACATAGACAACCACAAATTACACCCAAACTCACGAGAGAAATAAATGTAAGCCATACAAACATTTCTCCCGGCCCGGGAATCGAACCTGGGACCTCTGCGTGGCAGTCCGGCATGATAACCGTTCGGCCACGGAGGCAGTTAACTTCTACTACTTCTACTAGTTAAGTTCTACTTACCTTCCAAATCTCATAAAGGAATTAAAGAAAATTATTCTATTTTATTCGTAACAACAACATCTTAATTTCAAATTCAAATTCAAAATTTGTTTATTCAGACCGTGGTCCATGGTGTTAGTACTTAAAATAAAACAATGAAAAAATCTACATCTACGTTAGTAACAAAACACACATTTATAATAGTACAAAACAAAATAACATAAATCAAACAGATAAATTAATTAATATAATATACACATTCAGCATGAGGATGAATAAGAGCCGATACCCAATGCCTTTGCAAGGCACTGTCCGGTCTCTCGGCTAGGATCCTCAGAATGCTGTTGGGGCTCTCCAGCATTCTGCGTCTTACTGACACGATTTTCTTCCTCAGCAGCGCATGAAATCCGTCTGTGTGTGCATCCGCAAACATACCGGAAGCACTACAGAACCTGGGTAACCCCAAAAGCACCCTAAACATGTCATTGTAAAGGACGCGTAGTTCGCTGAAAGCCCTCTGGGTATACCTAGCCCACAGGCCGCTACAGTAAAACGATTGACAGAAAGATTTGAACAACGCCACTTTTACTTTCTTAATAGGAAATGAAACAATTTTTCCTGATTTAAATCGCGTATATTGGTTTTTTCAAACAAACCGACGTTTCGGGCCCTTTACAGATTCCATGGGACTATGTGTAACAATCGCGAAAACCTAAGAACTCAGTATCTTAATAAACAAGGATTTAATATGAATATGTTTAGTCAAAGCTAGCTACATCAATTACAGTAGACCACGTTCCACATTTTAGTAGCAGTAGAGCTCCTTGTGAAAGAGTTCGTCCAGGGAAGTACTGCCATCTTACCTATTTCTGCCGCCAAGCAGTAATGTTAGGCGTGCTGGTGAAATTACAGGCACATGGCACTTGTCACCTTATGTCTCAGGGCGACGGGCGCAGTGGGATTTCCCCTAAGATCTTTGTGATTTAAAGCTCTGAGTGGCACTACAACTGTTATGGACAGGCGTGTAGCTTACCAGTAGGCGCACGACTTGTTCGTTTCTCATGATATGAAGCATAGTTACGCCCGGCGCTGCTTATTGGCAGCACGGCGGCGTGACAAGGGATCCTTCGGCATTCATACGATGTTTTCCTCTCACTATCCTTAAGTGGTCACCACACTTATCGTGGTAAGGAATCGCATTAAGTCGATCAGAAAAGACATTATGTTCGTGTAATAAGAGCAATAAAGAAGCGAAACGCGCCGTCATTTTGGCTGTTATTACATCGACATAATCTTTTTTCTCATAGACTCAAACTGATTCCGCATTAATAAATGTGGTGACTCTCTTAGACAACGTGAAAGTCCTTATCCCACACTTAACCTACGTTCTCTCTAAACAAGAGATGCAATAGTATTGGTAGTATTTAAACAAAGACATTGCACATATTGAATTAAGGAGGAAACATACACGGGCAGCGTGAAACCGGTGATTGTTTTGCAATTTAAAACTTTTACACCTAACATAATGTTGTTGTTTTTCAACAACACTTAGCTGCCGATACTTCCTTTTTGTAGATTCGAACAATAGACACTGGCTTCGTGTGTCACTTCACGATTTCTGCGTAGATTAAACCCACTTTATGGACGTAAGGAAATCATCGTGAGTATGTAGCAGGTGAGCGTAGTGTATTGGAAGTTCTTTGTTTACGTTGTGTTTGTAAACAACGCTGTTCCAATGCAGGAAGAATCAGTAAATCGTGGAAATGTTCGAAAAGGCACTGGTCCGCCCAGAAAATGTCTATTCGGTCGCACTTAAGATACTGCGCTTAAAACGCTTGAAGGGAATATCGACCTAGGAGGGATAATATCCCGCCATAAGTCTGGATCTCTGATGGTAAAAAGGTACATCGAAAAATCTGTAGAAAACCCACAGATGGGCAATTTTGGGTGGGCTAAACTATGAAGTTTAGTAAATCTCCTGGCTTTACGTTTAACCAAGCCAAGAGCCTCTAGTTGATATTTTGCTGATGGCTATTCCACATGGCGGCAATACTCCAGCAAGATCGGGCTTCCGCGTTATATAGAGTTAAAAGCTGTCGCTTCACCTTCAGTGTGGCTGCAGACTTGAATTCTTTCAACTTTCAATGAGTAGATCTGGCACGAAAATACGCTGATGGTATCTGTGTTTCCCGAAAACTGCAATTTGGGGCTATTTAAGAGAAAAAAGTTTTTGTGCCTACCATAAGGCTATCGTACTGTATATCTGCCTAATGTTTTACTTAAGAAGCGTTGTTCTTGTTTGTGTAATGTTATCAACGTTTCTGCTGTATGCGTTCTGCTGGACTTCAATGAAGGATCGGACATTCACCATCACTTATGTAGTCTAGCATTGCTGAAATTACTTTCTTGTTATCATGCCGCTTATTGCCCGCTTTTGTTTCCAGCTTGCCCCGACGGCACTTGGGGTCGCAACTGCCAACACAAATGCGAGTGCTTGAACGGCGGCACATGCGAGCCACTCACTGGCCATTGCGCCTGCGCACCCGGGTGGCGCGGCCGCAACTGCGAGCAGCCCTGCGCAAACAATACTTTTGGCGATAACTGTATTGAAACATGCAACTGCCAGAACAATGCTAAGTGTCAAAAGGTGACTGGCGCTTGCGATTGCCCTGCTGGATTTACTGGACCTCTGTGAGTGATTTTCAATATAGAGATTTGTTCATTGTGATTTAAATTCTTGATAATCATCATCATCTGCTTATCGCATTACTATGACCTTAGACAAGTCCTAGACTGAATCTGAAATGTGGAAGACTAAAGCTGTGGTAAAGTTTGGGATCGCCTTAGACTTAGTCTATGTCCGTAGGACCTATTTGGGAAATTAACTTTCCTGTATTCATTTCGAATTTGATTCTTGTCTATTGTGGGTAGTACCCCGGAGTGAATTCCTGTTGATCTGGTGCTCATAATACAGGGAATTTCCCGGTTTGACACCAGTTAATCAGTGTTGCTGTCTGGAACATTATTTAAATCTCATTACTTTCACGTAGGGTGGAGTAAAAGCAAGCGTATTTAGATTTCACAAGTAAAGTTACAGAGCTCATGTCATCAACTACAACTAAATCTTATCTTTGTCTTTTTGTATTTGTTCATTCCGTTCAAGCGTTCCTTCGTCCATTACAAGTAATTTTCTTTATTTGTCTATTGTGTTATAGATGCGAAGAAAAATGTCCGACCGAAAAAGCGTGCCCACAAAATTGTCGATGCCAGAACGACGGCGTTTGCAATGCGCTCACAGGGCAGTGCGAATGTCCACCAGGATGGACAGGAGAGGTTTGCGCTAACAGGTTAGTAATTTATGATGTATTCTTAGGTGCACCCCAAATTACCATCAACCAAGTAATAATCAAACCTATTATAATTTAGAATAAGTTTCTGCCTGCGGCTTCACACACGTTTTTAAAGTGTCGTGGACGACATGCAGGTTTTATTACGTTTTCCTTAGTCGTTAGTCGAGAGCTACTGTTACTAACCATTCGCAAATGTACGCGACTTAAAAAGTCTTCTGTTCTGAAATCCGTGCCTCCGACTGAGCACATACTACTCGAGTATCTATAAGATGCGAGTGACTAGGCATCTTCTGGGCGAGCTTGTTCCACCGTACACTCTATCTTTGCTTCAAAGCTAGATAGTGGTCAAGAGCAAGTTCATTTGTCAATACGTTCCGCTTCAGGGTTCGTACCCTGTTCCTCTTAGACTCAATTGGATGTTGATAAGCAATAACATGTGACGATGCTTTATTGCTTTTTTATCTTCATTCCACCTTTTTATCACCCTTTTCTCTGGTTCATGGCCTCTAACTTACCTTTACTTAAATTTTAAATCGTTCTTTAATTTTTTTCCTTCGTCACTATTACTTTCTTTCTTTCCGTCGCCTTCTTTTCTTCTTACCTGGTTTATATTATATTGCTTTGTTACAGCCTTTACGCCTTTACCTGTTCTTTTCCCTTCCAGTACATTCTCTTTCTTATTTCTACAATAAAATTTACGTGGACCGAACCTTCTACTTAATTACGCGAGGCCCGCATGACTAACATGTTAACCAACATGAACATATTTTGAGAAAATGGCGTCTCAAGATTTTATTCGTGGTTGTGGCTAATAGATTCATATCAACTGCTATTATCAGTTTTTAATATTTAGTTGTTTCATATTACTTAGCTGTGTTTGTAAAATGTAGACGAGATGACAAGCTACAATTCGGCATTTTCGAGTTTTTGTGGGTTAACACGTTGTTGCGTATCAAAACTGTAAAAACGACCGTTCTCCTACTGAACTACCACCGCTCTACTACTAATCTTGTTATTCATTAATTGTTAAAGTAAATGATTGGATCGTGTGAGGTCTAGAACCGTTTTTCATTTATAAATTTGTGAAGGTAATTAGTGCATCGATAATAATTGATGGCTGTGTTTGTAGTATCCAATTGAATGATTAACATGTTGATTTCATGTAGATGTCCGTCGGGCAAGTGGGGCGAGCGGTGCGAGAACACCTGCCAATGCGCCAACAGCGCGGGCTGCCACCACGTCACGGGAAAGTGCCAGTGTGAAGCTGGCTTTACCGGTGAAAAGGTTCGTAACAGGTGTTGATTCGTCATCTCATTGTCTAAGAAATTGTTTAACTGAACTGATAAACATTTGTCATCATCATTATATCAGCCGGAAGACTGTTGAACATAGGCTTCCCCCAAAGATCGATTACCCACTGCCCTTACCAGGTCATCCGTCCATCTAGTAGGGGGCCATCCCACTGGACGTCTTCAGGTTCGTGGTCTCCGTTCGAGAACCTTTGTGAGAGTACCCTGCCCACTGCCACTTCAACTTGCTAATCCTTTGAGCTATGTCGGTGACTTTCGTTCTTCTACAAATCTCCTCATTTCTGATTCGATCACGTAGAGAAATGCCGAGTATTGCTCGCTCCATAGCTCGTTGAGTGACTTTCAACTATTTATGGAGCCTGCAGTAAGTGATCACGTCTCAGAGCCGTAGGTCATCGCTGGCAACAAAAACGCACTGCAAGATTTTTGTCTTTAAGGGCTGCGGTATTGCGGACGAGAAGACGTTCCGGAGCTTCCCGGAAGCTGCCCAACCGAGTCGGATTCGACGATTGACTTCTTTCTCAAAGTTGGCTGCCTAATTGGACAGTTTGTCCGAGGTAGACATACTCGTCAACAACTTCGAGAGTAGAGGTTCCCACTGTTATAGGGGTGGATACGACATGGACATTCGACATAAGTTTCGTCTTGTGCATGCTTATTTTTGGACCCAAATTTGTAAATCATTCGACAGTTAGTACAATTTCCGTTAACAACTTAAAAGTGTGTTTTGAAACATGTACAAAATGGTTCTACGCCATCTAGCGGCATCTTATCCAAACTACATTCATGGTTATGTTAATAGACGCCTTGACAATGTTGTTTATTTTATAGAAAAGCATTACATAATAGATTATGAGCTTCAAAGGAATTTAACAGAATATACAATAATCAAACAACAATTGTTATTAGTGTTATTTGCAATCAGTGTGGTTTTTTATAATTGTTCTTCAATGGTATTGCGGTTGGTAATTTCCTTCCTTGGCTTTGTAATTTTATTGAACATCATTGATTATTATTCCGTTCAAGTAACGTAAGGAAGTTTTCACTCATTTTGATTTTTCCCTGCGTGAGAAGAAAAATTGCTAAGGTCCAGAATGTATGGTATGCCTGACTACGCTAAGACTTGAAGTTCCTATGGATTTACACTTTCTTTGCTGTTAGTGCTTGCTCCTTTTGTTGTTCCAGCATCCTTTAATCTGTTGTTTATTTTCTGTGATTGGCTATTTTTTAACCGGTTTCAAAAAAAGTTTTTTTTGTGTATGTTACGGCATTGGTGAACCGATTCTGTTGATTCTTTTTTTTGTTGGAAAGGGGGTACCTCAGTACTGGTCCCATTTAAATTTGAAGAAAATATTCCATTTCTGAGGATGGCAAAGTAGGGGATGAATCCGGTTTCGCGCTTTCCGGTAACCAATTTCAATGAAAGTTGGCAAATAGATGTAATTCCATGAACTATTGAGGTCGGTTTTTTTTTAATAAAAAAGTTATGTTTAACGCTTTTGAAGTCCGAGTTGAAAAACAGTGCGACTCGAGATCACTGACGGTGTTTGGCTCGGCCGCAGTGCCTGGACGAGTGCCCGCGCGGCCGCTTCGGCGTGGAGTGCCTGGGCACGTGCGCGTGCCTGCACGGCGGCGAGTGCTCGCCCGCCGACGGCGCCTGCGCCTGCAAGCCGGGCTGGTCGGGCCCGCAGTGCGAGCGCCGCGCCTGCGCCGACGGCGTGTTCGGGCCGCGCTGCGACAAGCGCTGCGACTGCAACCCGCCCACCACCGACATGTGCGACCCCTGGACGGGCGCCTGCGAGTGCAGCGCCGGCTGGGGCGGCGAGACCTGCGAGCGCCAGTGCCCGCTGCTCACCTTCGGCAAGGGCTGCCAGAACCCGTGCCGCTGCGAGAACGACGCGCAGTGCTCTCCCGTCAACGGTACTCTCGCCGCGGCCCGTCCTGGTCATACACACACCGGCACAAGTAGCGGAACAAAAGCGACGATATAAAGTAGTACCTTGATAGCACAGCAGTTATACTAACATCTTTTAACACCAACTTAGCCTTACTTAACCCTAATTGAAAAAAAAATAATTAGGCTAAATCTAAATTAAACTAAAAAAAAAACACTTTGTGACAAAGCAGAAACCATTGAGAGTTTTAAAAATACAACAGTTTAATATTGATTAAATCAAAACTTAATACGTAAAAAACTTTTGCAACTAATGGTTACGAAATTTACAAGATCTCATAAATTACACCGAACCACCCAACAAACCTGTATTAGTAGGAAATTAATGATAGTTGATAAGAAAATGACAGTTGACTAATTTTAATTTTGAATTAGATCTTTAAAAAAAAAACATTTTTTAGCGTTGGCCTAATGTTCCGTTGAATGTATCGGTGCCTGTAAATAGCTTGTAATGGGAACATTTTGATAACTTTCTGAAAAAAAGAAAAACCACATTTATTTACAGAACATACAAGATATTACAAGTAAAGCAATATGTATATATTTTATGCACAATTGCCGAGGCCAAGGCCTCTTTCTCCAGTCCCGTGGCCAAACAATACCTTGGAACACACTCCGCCCTGCCCCCAGGTTCGTGCCTGTGCGCGCCCGGCTTCCGCGGCCGCCAGTGCGAGGAGCCGTGCCCCGCGGGCTGGTTCGGCGACAACTGCAAGTACCAGTGCGACTGCCAGAACAACGCCACCTGCTCGCACGAGACCGGACAGTGCACCTGCAAGCCGGGGTAACTCCTTCCGTTCCATGTACTGCTACATACAGTGTCCTTGGATTGGACAAAAGTTCAATTCACTTCAACATTTTAATTTTATTGTATAATAATTCGCACCCCTCATAGGAGAATGGCATAAGTGGACTTTTATCAAAAACGTTTATTGCTCCATTACGTACAGAAAAATATAACCCACATCCTCTCCACTTCTTGTAACTCTATCATCTAATATTGTAGATAGAGTTACAAGAATTAGAGAGGATGTGGGCTGTATTTTTCTGTATCTAATGGAGCAATAAACATCTTTTAACGTAACTCCACTTATGCCATTCTTCCATGATGTTTTTACTATTATGATATTAATATATTTTATAATCGATTTCAAGAAAAGGAGGAGGTTCTCATTTCGACATTAGGCGATCACTCCGACATTTGTGAATCGATTGCGATGATTCTTTTTTTTGTTCGAAAGGGAGTACCTCGGCAGCAGCCCCTTTCAAATTTGAACAAAATATTCCATTTCTAAGGGTAGCAAATTAGGGAATGTATCTGGTTTATTAGATTTCACCCACTTTCCGCTAACCGATATTAATAAAACTTAGCAAAAGATGGAACAAACGTAAATAAAAATCCCTCGACTGATGAATTTCTCTATGTGCTTGTTGTGGATTTTTTGCCGTAGCGCCGCCTGATAAATTAATTGTCCCTACAAAACTCCTTCATTGCCTTCTTTATTTTTAGTATAATCTAATCAATGTTTGTGCCCTTATGAATTATAATATTGGTCTAGTGTAGCAGTATTATGTTTTTTCTCTTTTATTTATTTAAAAGTTTAACGAGATGTCCACATAACTTATCTAACAAGTCACAATTAACTGTTGATATACGAATTTTAGTCCTAGAAAAACCAAATTAAGCGTCTACGACTGGACAATAGACATTATAAGAAAATGAATGTTTTATTTAATTTTAGATATGACGGTTTGAAATGCGACCGTCCGTGCAATGGAAAAACATACGGGCTCGGATGCCGCCAAGTGTGCGAGTGTGAAAATGACGCCCCTTGCAACCCGGTGAACGGTGAGTAAAGTTTCCGAGGCCGCGCATGGGCGAAGGTGCTTACAAGTACAAATCACAGTGATTATGTCATTCAATATTTATTATAAAAAAATATATTACACTGCTTTAAATTTACATAAGTAAGAGGACTTACTTCACTCAATATAATATATTATAAAATATTACATTACCACTTTACATTACGAGCCACAAAGTTTTTGTTACTTATAATATATTGTTATGATGAAATAAACATTACAAATTTGAATATTGGTGAACTGGGACTTGACAACTTTACGTCTGGAGAGTTATTAGGTCTTTGTGATTTAATGTTCAGAGTGGCATTGCAATTGTTATGGTCAGGCGTGTCGCTTTCCACCAGGCGCACGACTTGTTCGGTCTCTTCACTTGGTATTATAAAAAAAATAATTTTACGAATAAAAAACTCTTTGATATAATATTTTTTTTTTTAGAGGCCACTTCTTAAGCTTACGAAAATAAAGGTTCTCTGATTACACAGATAGACTGTTTAGATTTGGCCAGTTTGTACTGACTCTTTTTAAGATAATTTTTTGTGTTAATTGTGGCCGAGTTTATATTTACGAGCTAATGCCCTTACGCTGAAGCTCTAAAATTTTCCTGTTATGTATAGTAAGTTTGGTGGAGAGGAAAATTATATGGGAGTGCAAAAAAAAACGTGAGAGATTAGCGAGAACGTTTTGGATTATAAATTAAAATTAGTCCACAAATGCGATAAATTGTTTTAAATTCAATTATAATTACACAAATACACTCCTTAATGTTACTTTGACAATTTGTAATATTCTTTATATTTTTAATTCATAATAAAAAAGTAAATAAATTTAGCTAAAATTAGCTAAAATATTTTTTTCTATTTGTAAAGATTAATTAATTGTAATGCAACTTTGGATATATTTAGAATGTTGCAAAAACTTTGACACTGTACGTGCCAATTGAGGCCGATGTTCCATGAACGGCTTGGGTGCAGGCGAGTGCGTGTGCGCGCCGGGCTGGCTGGGCGCGCGCTGCGGCCAGCGCTGCCCCGCCGGCTACTTCGGCCAGGGCTGCGCCAGCGCCTGCAACTGCTCGGGCAGCGCCGTGGGCTGCCACCACCAGACGGGGCAGTGCATCTGCGAGTCCGGCTGGAGAGGTACGCCCCGCTATGCGATCCCTCGCTCGTTCCGTTGCGTCCTGTACTAAGTGATACTCACCGCTGCTTTCTCGGTTCAGGTCTCCCCGGGGACGGTACGTACCTTTCAAGTCTCGTTGTGTCAATGTTTGTGTATTAACAGATGTTCTCCGGAGCGCCCTCGTGTACGACACCAATTGCGAGGACTCGAACGTCACGGTTCTGTATCGAACTAACGGGGTCCGACCGGCCGGCGACGGAGACCCCGAAGGAGAGGCTTTCCAATTTCTGTATTTGAGGAAGAAAGGGGCCGCGGGCACGACCGCGTCGCGAAGGGGTTACGGCGATGATTTTGACAAAAGCGTGTTGAGATTAATCGGGAAACATATCGCGAGAAAAAGTCACGAGGCTTTTCCGCCGGGCGAGGAAATCTCCCAGGTTCTCATCAACCATTGCATGACGTTCCACTTGAACGGCAACCGGAACCCGGACGCTGTATTGACGACCGCCGCGGAGTTCCTCAACCATCTAAACCTAGCGAAAGTGAATGCTTTCGTAGCTTCGGTAGACATCAAAGACGAGTTATTGACGGGAAACTCAAATATTTGGGAAGTCTCTCTCGAGGAAGGAAACGTGCACCCGACTTATTTGTTTTCAGGATACGTGGCTAAATTAGAAAATATAACAATTTCCCATTATTAAAACTTAAATATGGCATTTTTATTTTGTAGTTGTAACGATTGATGTTGTCAATAATAATTATTATGGAACCTTGTAATTTCAAAGAGCACAACTTGTTCTCCCCCTTTTTTTCTTCTTATTTATTTAGTAACTTTTATAATTTATAAACTTATTATTATTATCTATTTATACAAAAAATAAATTGTGAATGTTGAGAGGCTATTTTCCCCGGTAATGGCATAATCGATCGCGGGCAGGGACTCAGTGTCAAAAATCGAAAAATGTTATTATTATTAATTTTAATTTATTATACAATTGCATATTTCGTCTGCTACACTACATCCTCTGCGACAGTTCTTCTGGGCTGCGCTGCTAGAGGATATAGGCACATAGGCGTAATCTTACGATGATAGATAGATCGATAATTCTTAAAAAGTTTTATTGGTTTTGATTTAATTTACAACAGTTTAGTGTAAAATAAGTGCACTGCGCGATGATTGTAAACAAAAAATAAAGTAGACCTGTAGCTCAGTTAGTTCGTCCAGCTGCACCGTTGAGGCAACAGACGTTGATTCCAATTCAGTCAGATAAAGTCTTTTCGTAGTGTTGTTCGGTCTTTATATCGATAATAATAACAAAGTAGTGAAATAGTGAATTTTCACAAAAAATACATGTCAAAATCATGGTTCGTGCGACAATTTGTGTTAATTTGAAATAAGTATTCAAATTATTACAAATTGTCGCATGAACAAGTGCAATTATTGAGATATTTTTTGTTAAGTAACTCTACTAGTTTTAATTTGATTATTAATATAAAGATCAAACACTTAGAAAGATGTTTCGACGACAACTGAGCTACGGGTCAAGTTATCGAGTTGTCGAAATTCTCTTATGTGCTCTTTGTTAAAAATCTTTGTACCGGGTATCGAGGTTAAAAAGGTTCTAACATCTCTCACCAGATGTCACTAGCGGTGCTAAAAAAAAAAGAACATTCCAGTGTCGCTGTAACGTGGTTGCTACTCTTTATTTCTTTTAAAAACTGTACATATAGTAAAAATATTGCATGTCTCTTTATTATAATATTGGTACAGTAAAAATAAATGTTGCCAGTAGACTAAATGGTTAAAATTAACGTATTAAGTGGATCTATTGTGCATTACATTTCTTTTAGAAATTTTTAAGTTGTAATTAAGAAAATAATGTGGTGACATGAAATATTAATTTACAATGTATCCTCTGTGCTTAATTCTGTGATACTATAAATTGCACCCTCAATAATAAGATGGAAACTGACAAAGTAAATATAAAATAACGTACTAAATAAAACCAAAATGTGTTTTGTATCAAATGGAATCGTCTTATATTTAAGTGCTGGGCAAATGACGATACGGCCGCGGCTGGTGTGATGTACGTTTTTTTTAATCTATTTGTCAGGGTCCCATACTTTTATGAAGATATGTTTAAAACTTGTTAACATCGTATACTAGTTAATAGCACGTAATAGTTATTTTTTAAACGTGGGTTAGAATCTTGACAAACTAGTTTTTAGTATTCTACAGTGTTAACTATCAGCGTTTCAATTTTACCCGACGTAAAACGGGCGAGATTGCTTATTTATTGGCTCCGTGCAAGCGTAAAGGACGACAGCGTCCGTAGACATTAAGAAATAAAGTTAAATTTGTAACCGGACGGTTACAGGTGTCTAGAGCCGCACGCAGCCAATAAAAGCACGGGGGAAATAAAATGAAAACGCGGCATTTATTGAGCAAGGACGTCTGTCCCAGGAGTGCACTGCGAGACGCAGTGCGCCGAGGGGCTGTACGGCGAGAACTGCTCGGCGCGCTGCCCGTGCGTGAACAACTCGTCGTGCGACGCCGCCACGGGCCGCTGCGTGTGCGCCGCGGGCTGGGCGGGCGCCGACTGCAGCCAGCCCTGCCCGCCCGGCACCTACGGCGCGGGCTGCACGCAGCTGTGCCCCGAGTCCAGCCCTGGTCGGTTTCCACTCCTGCGGCGCTAATCTGTTGGACGATGGCCGTGTTACGGCCTTGACTGGATTTACTGTATTTCACTATTTATTTACCTGCGATTTTCTGAGGTGCGTTGTGCGCTCAAACATCCGAAAAACCGTAACTGCCATATTAGTCTCGCGTGCAAGCGCCGGAAACCCGTTGCCGAAACGTTTGGAGAACAATAGTGCGTAATATTTATAAACAACGTTTGAAATTACCAAACAAGTGCCAAATGTTACGTCCTTACGGATTCTTACAGTAGTATGCACTTAAATGCACAAGTAGGAAATTCAGTTTCAAATACGGAGCATGTCGGCTCTCGTCGAATCAGACCGGTTGCGTTCGATGAAGTCCTTCAATCCATAATGCTGGTGGAAATTATGGCTACTGGCTAAGTTAAAGTCAAAGTCAAAGAATCATTTATTCCATACGTAAAATAAATTTACGTTTATATACGTTTTGACAATAAGATTCTTGTTGATATTTGAAAAAAAAAAAAAATTACGCGGTTTAAGGTACATAGTATTGCAGACGAGTATGATTACATGCCTAGCTGTGGAAAGAGAAAGGTTTTTGTCTCAAGTATATTAATTATAGTAATTAGTACATAAAAAATGCGCTCGGCTTGTTTTATTGCTAATGTTTTTTAATAGGTTGTTGCTCTTAAGTTGGCACAAAGTTGCAAATGACAAAATTTCTGGGTCTTTTTTTTTTAAATCGGAATCTCGAACCCGACCTATGTAAGGAAGTGCGTCGTGGGTAATGTTCATGCAAGTTTTTTGTACGAAGTTTTGGTGACAATTTCTTTCTATTGAAACATTTCTAGAATGCCATCATGAAGCATCATTTGATATTTGGGTGTGGTAGTACATTGGAGTAACGGAATAGCAAACATTGTCACCAAAACCGCGTGCAACGACCTCGCCGGCCATACCGCGAGGCCGCAAGGCGCGGCGCGTGACGCAGGCTCTGACACGCAGGCTCGGGCGCGCAGGCCGCGTGCGACCCGCTGACGGGCGCGCGCCCGTGCCGCAGCGGCTACTCGGGCCCGGCCTGCGAGTACCCCTGCCCGCTGGGCAGCTTCGGGCGCGGCTGCCGCGGCCGCTGCGCCTGCCGCAACGGCGCCGACTGCCACCACGTGAGCGGCGCCTGCCAGTGCCTGCCGGGCTGGCGCGGGCCGCGCTGCAGCGACGCCTGCGCCGCGGGCTGGTGGGGCGCCGGCTGCCTGCAGCCCTGCCGCTGCGCCGCGCGCGCGCAGTGCCGCGCCAACGACGGCTACTGCCGCTGCCCGCCCGGCTACAAGGGCACGCACTGCACCGAGTGTACGTATCCCTGCCGCCGCGGGGAGCGCTCGACGCCGTCGACGCGCGTTCAATCTGTCATTTCCTGCCTCCGCGGGCCCGGGTTCGATTCCCGACGGCGTCCGCGGCACACGGTTTCCCAAGTGCAGGGCTATGTTAAGTGTGTGCGTTGCTATTGTTATATATTAGGGTGCTGGTGAAATTACAGACACATGGGACTTGTCAACTGACGTCTCTTGAGACGGGCGCAGAGGCGACGCCTTTCAGATCCTGAGATTAAATTCTTAGATCTAAAACTCTAAATGGTATTGCAACTGACAGGACAGGCGTGTCGCTTACCATTAAGCGCACGACTTGTTCGTCCCGTCACTTGATATTATAAAACAGTTGACCTAAACTAGCTGTATGAGATCGACTAAATTAGCTGTATGAGATCAGTCCATCTGTTTGGAGACAACAATGGCACAGACACGCAGACAAAAGCTCAAACTTATAATTATATTATTTTAGTGTTAAAACATGGCTCAATGCCACCTAGCGGTGGAACTACTAAATACTTATATTTTGTTATGGTCTATTGCACACATTACGTTTGTTACAAGAAATGAAAAAAAAAATGAAAAGCTGAAATCACTCCCTCCACCCCGCAGTCTGCCCTGACGGCTACTACGGCGACCACTGCATGACGCCGTGCAACTGCCCCGCCGACGGCAGCTGGCAGTGCGACCCCATCAAGGGCTGCGTGTGCGCCCGCGGCTACATAGGCGCCAAGTGCGACGAGCCCGCCTCCAGCGCTGTCGTCGTCGACAAGGCCGCAGGTTCCTTCTCGTTCTTCACTGTCTCCTTTGCGCCAGATTGCCCAAATATATGCGCCAGATTGCCCAAATATAAGATCCCAATACTACTGTCCACTAACTAAAACGCGGCAAATGGTCAAATATCCGTGTTAAATAAAAAAAAGACAAAATTCTCTTTTAAAAACTGTTAAAATAGTTAACGTATTCGACTTATCGGAACTTATCGTAACGATGCAAAGCTGAAATAACATTAAACAATTTCAATATTCTAAAACTCATATCTCTCTATCAAAATATTTTGTCACTTAGCCGCCTTTTAATTAGCAGACGGCAAAATACTGAGTGAAACCTCGCTTACGTTGTACGTACTTTTACGTTGTGAAAGAGGTGTTATACTTTATTTAGAGGTGTTATACTCTTTAGCCTAAAAAGGTTTGTTTATGTGTTGCAACTCTTCGTAACGTTGCGATTATTTGCGATCTATTTAATAAAAATTATACATACATACCCTTATACAGATAGACAATGCTTTGTTTCAACAAGGACATAATACAAATAAACGTACACGTAAGACAAAGGTGCTTCGCAATTAATAAGAGAAAAAAAAAACAGTAACATGGAAACGAATAAATCACGGACCCAGTAAATCAAGAAGGCTGCTTATCTGTATATATTAGATCGTAACTCTGAAAAATGTCAAAATTCCGTCTTATGTCTAGACGTCGCTGGTCAATAGACTGGAATTAGTTTATATGATGTAAATGGCCGTAGATATCACGTAATTCCTCTTTAATATCAGTTCTTTTTCCTTTGAAATTTTCAAATATTGATCACGAACTAAAATTATTTTCTGAACTTTGACAAATATGCGTGTCAATAGATGGCATTGTGTGTTACAAACTAGTTTAAAAATTAACACTTCCTAATGGGTAGATGGCGCTTATCCTAAACAAAATAAAAGAATAGCCGGCACTAATCACTATCCATAAAAATCTATGCAATAAGCGCCATCTAGTTGATTTGTTTGTTATCACCAGAAATTAAATTAGCTACTTATATTTTTTGTTCCCTCTTGCGGAGCTGATGGGGGTGTATGTAACGTTCGAAGAGCTGAATTAACCTTTAACGACTGTAGTTATGTTTGGAGAAGGATTTCACTGAATTTAAATACTTTTTCCGATTAAGACAAGAATGTATTGATATCTAGAGCTTATACGACAACGGTCCAACCGACTGGAAAGGTGTCGAGCAATTGTACGATCAGCAATCGAATGACCAGAGTCGTCAAACGTAAAACAAATTAGTTACAAAAGTAGCTATTTGGTACTCGTCGCGCCATCTGGTGTACCAATAGGTACTACATACCCGACTACGCTATCTTGTATCATCACTGTTAGCAGTCCTGTTTAGGTAATTGGTCCATGATAAAAGTAAGAAACAAAAACAAAAAATAAAAGCACGTACGTAGTGTATAAATTACAATATCGCGCTCTCTACAAGCCACGGCCCGGTGGCGCTGTTTGGCGCGGAGAAACCAGTTTGGCTGCGATGCTAAACGTGCGTATACAGGCTGTTCTGTATCATATTTTAAAGTCTCACTGCTGAGCACGGTTCTCATCTAAGAAGATTTTATTAGTTTATTCCTTGCAATTTTATATATATTTATTTATATACACACATGTATTCAATATATACATATACGCAGGGTTATTTTTAAAATACTAACAACCTCTCAGAACTATGTTACTAACATCATAAACAACAATTTTTATTCCATGACTTTTACAGAACATGATAGTATTATCAATATACAACCTTTTAGTTTTTCTTTTACACGCATTTCCAGAGGGCGGACATACTGGCCTGACGGTGCTAATGGTCCTGCTGGCGATGGTGATGGCGGCGGTGGCTGTGCTGGTGCTGCTGTACTACCGCAAACGCGTACGCAGGCTCAAGCAGGAAATCGCACACGTCGTCTACACCGTAGACCCTGCCGCGCAGCCAGGTTAATATCGATCAATTCTGCTGCTTGACTGCAAAAGTCCACGATATGGCAAACCATCTTTTTATAAACATTTTGCAGCGAATTATAACGTGAAACACTAAACGTACGGGTAATTTGTTCCAAATAGAGCAACAACACTTCGACAACCCGGTGTATTCGTACCAAGGGTCGCAACGCAGCGATGACTCCACAACTTTACTCAACAACCATCTCATCAACAACCTTGGCACTTCCAGTAAGATCAACAACGCTACCCTCGAAAAGCTTCGCATAAGACCTGCGGGGTCTAACGATTGTGAGTAAAATATAAGAGTACGTAATGATTCGACTGAAACTTTCGATTGTGTCGTCATATTATACACGTACAAAATTAACATCATATAGCATTACGGTTAACCTACAGTTAAAGTATTGGATATACTTTAGTCTTATTTAAATCTGTAAAGTAACATAAAAATATAAATAAGAGAAAGGCATCAAAATTAACTTGTGTTGTGGAGGTGTTGCACAGGGGTCACTACTGAGCCCAAAGTTTTTTATTATATCAACTCTTAGCACCCTATACTAAACTAAAAGATATAATAAACCTTGTGTTTCTCGTTTCAGCAAACGATCCACTATCTCATTTGAAAAACAAGGATGCAGATTCTACGAATCCTAACTTATATCATTGTATTGATGACGACAAATTGGACCACGTTTATGACGAGATTAAACATAAAGAAGGTTATGGTGAGTATCACTTTTGGTTTTTTATGTTTACTCTATATATGTCTCTTTAACGACATCTCGTTGAACACAGAAATCTCATTTATACAGTTGAGGTGTGAAATATTAAAACGTTTGTTTTAGAAATGGAGTACGACCATTTGAACTATACCCCGCCGACAAACAAATGGAAGCAACATTACCAGCGAATGGCCAACGGCTTCACCGTGCCCAACGGCCAACCCGCGACCGCATCGCCCGCGTCGGTCCCGCCGATCCCTCCGCTGCCGAAAGTAAACATGGCCCCCATACCGCCGCGAAGAGAGGAGGAGCCCCTCACCGGCCCGACGCCTCCGAAGAGGGAGGAAGTGGTGACCGTCAGCGACGGGGAGGAGACTACGCCGTGACCCGAGGACTGGGCGAAATTGTTCGATGATATTATGGGCGAGTGAGTGCTTGAATATACTGTGCGAAAACGTGTTCCTTATGCAACTGATATTAGGCTCCTTTTAAAGTCCTGCTTTCTCGCGAATTTTCTATAGATAAGAGTTGTATATAAACTTTCGATGCGGTCGACGAGGAAACGGGGCAAAAGCCGTGTGGCAGCGTTGCTCCACAACACAAGTCGACGCGGGTTGTAACATAATAATCCAACGATATAGCTAGGACTTAAATTGTTTCCCAAATAGGAAATAACGATGTAAGATTTTTATATCACGGTTTTTCATTTGTTTATGTTCCCTTTTACTTAAGGTGTTACAACAATTATATACCGTCGTATTTTTAGTTACAGATAATAAACTGACGTTTAGTAGGTTGTTATTTTTATGAAATAGAAGTGGTATTGTTGTATGTAAAATAAAAAAAATATAGAGGTATAACTAAATGTAAATTAATTATTGTTCAGCAAATCAGTGGTTAAAAATCTTGTAACTTTTTTTCTGACCGATTCCGGTTTTTCATTGAGTTCTTTGAGAACAAACAAACGCGTCACTATACAATAAACATGGCAACATTATTTTTCAATGTGACATTAGAAGCTGTCAGTTTGTTATCTTAAAAATCAGACTTTAATAACTTCTCAAGTATATTCAAATGATATTAAAAATTTAGACAAAGAATTGTTAACAAATATATTGTAGTTGAACAATCGGTCAAAAATAGTGTACAAAGTTCTACTACACCGTTCATATTATCTAAAACATATTTTAATATATTTTTTTAATAAAAAGTGACGCTCTGTTGAGCACTGAATACGACTATGTGTGTTGTGAAAAATCGAAGGTAATTTGTCGCGTATGGAGTGATCTCTTCTGAAGTGTGGCGTGAAATGAATGTTTTATAGGGCTTATGGTTGAAGAGAACGATAGGTCGAGTCTAGCTTTAAACGCCTAGTTCTTATACCATTTTTGCCATATCATCGTCGAAGTCAGGTTGTCATTAGTTTAAAAATGTCATAAAACGCCGTCAAAATAACCGACTTCCATAAATATGGTACTGACTTTACTTAAGCGCCAAGTTGTTGGCTGTCAAAACTTGTAATTATAAATATCTCTTTAATTTTGTCAAAACTAAATAAGTAATTTAAGCAACTATTACTGTTTACTACGTTACGATTATTTAATAAAAAAAAATATATTGTTTAATAAATCAACATGGAAGTATTAAAGTCCGTGTCGATTGTTTTGACGGCAACCAATTTAAGTATAACTTATATTATTAGTATTTAAAAATCAATTGAATCAACGTATCATTATTATTAGTTTATAATTTAATCAATTATATAAAACGCATATCGTTTCGGATCGGGTGATACCACATTACAAGTACATCTTTAATCAGTTAATCACATTTCAATATATTTGACATTTTATTTGGTAATGAATTAAAATGTTTTTAAGTATATTTATTTCTAAAAATGAACTAATTTATACTAAAACATAATATCTTGTTGTGCTACAAGATCACAAGTGCGAAATAGAGCATTTATTACAAAGCCGTGCATTGTCTAATGATTATGCATTTATTATTTATTCAAGCACTTGTTACATTCCACGGTTCATAAGAATTTGTAAATATTACGATCGATACGATGTCATACTATTTGTACTTGATCTGTGTTCATTATGATATTGACATTTACCTGTATTTATATTACCTATATATACTCTCGTAACGTAGTTCCCCTGCTGACTGTTGTAAGTAACATGAGGTTAATTGTTCAGGGTAAAGTATTTTCGGTGGAACACTTGAACATCTTGAGACATTCGTGTCTATGTTGTTATTTCAACGAGTTACATACACATATACAAAGGTAGACATTTGATGATTAGTGGCGAGTGTTAACTTATAAAAGCTGATTAAGATTGTAAGTTATTGTAAAAATGGAAGTAATTTAATTTGCTACTCGAAACCCAGTGAATGTTAATTTGTGTAAAATAGCTGCATTTTCCCTTTCCCATTTTTTCATTCCCAAATTTTTTCACTCACCGCTCACTTAGGAAAGATAACAAACTTTCTTCGCCCACCACCACAAGAAATAATTGAAAACACGTTTTTTATATTAACACAAAAAATGACGAGGAAAAAAGAATTATAACATGTATATGTAGTGTAGTTTATACAGTAAATACAGGTAGTTTTTAAAATGCGATTGCACCCCCAGGTCCGTATCAACGCCCCCAATTGCTTCCGAGGTAAAAAGACATTTCAGCGCCCATATGGGGGCACTTTGGGAAACTATGATGTAAACTAATAAGAAAACATTGTTTTTTTACAACGTAAGCGCAGCTATTTTGTTCGATTTGAACCTTTACGGGGTTTGCGTAGTAACAAATTAATTTACTCCCATTTATATTAAGAAGAGCAAAATTAACGCCTCATTCTATTTAATATTTAAAAATCAGGTACAGCAGTTAGTAAGGAGGGTAAAAAATGTGTCTTGTGATTATATTTAGTCATTTAATTTATCTGAAAGTAACCAGTTTAAAAATGTCAGACGTTTCCATACATTAACATTCTGAGTAGTAATAAAAGATTCGTATGGAGCAGCTGTTTGTCCCAAATTGTTTGGTGTCGCCTTTAAAATGTTACGTGCTAAGTTTTTTAAACCTTTTATTCCTCTAGAGGCCTTTGAAGCGGTGTGTCTCTGTGCTCTACATATTTTGTTCCACTTCATACTGTTCACTTAGTTCTTTAACGAACAACTAAGAATAATTATGAAGAATCTCTTCGTCGTCAAAATCTAACACACTGCTTCTGTTAGTTGGCTGAGGAATATACTATGAAATAGCTGGTTTCTATATATGTTTAATTATTTATAAAAAAAGTTTTTATATATTTTTTGTTTTATAAATTTTATTATTTAATTTAATAGCTAAATAAAATTTACATATACTATGTTAATATTCGAAAATGAAACTGAGGTATTTATAGTGTTTACAAGAGAATGTATAAGAATTAAGATAATATATTATTAAGTGAAATTTTAACTTCCAATTTTAGTATTATAAAGTTTAAATTCAAAAGAATTTTTTGGCAATTGAAAAATAAACAAAAAGACTGTTATAATGTTTTATCGGTATTAGCAGTGAGTATATAGGACAAACGATTTGCTCAAACAGTGCCAACTTGTACAACATCCTATAAGTAACTTTGGACTGTTACAATGTCACTCATATACTACAAAGCTTTCGCGCCATTTTGTCAGCCAAGTATGTGAAACGCCGAGGGGGATCGTGCTTAAATACAAATACTTTTCTCTTGGAACGGTGGTAGTCCAGTGAGAGCATGGTCGGTTGGTAATTGACAGGTCGGCGGTTCCAATCCCTATGTACCTATGACTTTTCTATACCTTCCGCTAAAGGTGAAGCAAAACATTGTGATGAAACGTAACCCTTGGGAGACATGTGACGGTTCACACGTTTCCCATCTATCTTTTTAGATGAGACCCGTACCTGGCAGTGAGACATATAATGGGTTGATGATGGTTAACATATTTATAATTCAAATACAAAACCAAAGCAAAAACATTAAATATGATAATGTATAGAGGAAATCCCGTTTATCTACACACATATCATAAATCCTCTATGATGTGGTCAAAAACCGCAAATTACGACCAGCATAAAGATAAACTATTTTGTTAGAACAAATTTCTTATCTGTGAAAATGTTATTATTGCTTCTTAATAACATCAAATTCGATTTTATTACTACATTACATATTACAAATTTCAAACATCTCGAAAGACAAAACAATTTAATTCGATCTCAATTCTAATATCAGTCGAGATGAAGTTTTATTCGAAATGAAATGTCAATAGCAAACATTTTTGACAAATTTCACACGTTACTTGATATCGAACGATATGATTGGGGCCGACTCTAGTTTGTCTATGAATTAAATAAAAACTACGATTGTGTAACATGCGTGAGAAAAGTTTGTACCACCCACACTCGTATTTTAATGCCTTTTATTACGTAATAGTCACTTAGACCACTATTTCGTTCAGTGTTTTAAAGGAGTCATATAATAGGGTGAAAAACTTGACAAAAATAATCAGAAAAAAAAACTAATTTATTTAAACAATATACGTATGTAATAAATCACAAATGGCGTGTGACGAATGTAAGCGTGTGCGCAGTTTGATAACAAAAGGGTCTCTATGACATACTGACATACGTGAAAACAGAGTAAACAATGTTTTACATTGTTTGTTTTATATCAATATTAATTTTGGAACATTAATCAATTTTCTTTATTAGCGTACATGTAGCCGTACTAATTTTATTTGTGTTACAAAATTTAATAATACGTGACATCATTAAAGCGGTTTTTTTATTGTACATACATTTAAAGAGTATAAATCGTATCTAATTTTAATTAATGTATTAAAAAAAACATATTTTTTAAATAAATTTATTTGTTCCGTAGGTTTTTTTAACTTTTGAACACGAATTTCTTGAAGTACGTGTTAAAAGTCGAGTCAACGTTTCACTGCAACAAAACTACCTTGAGTACGAGGTTTCGCTTGCCTTTTACAGAAAGTATTGTTTTTTGTATTACGCTAAACATCTTCTAAGTGCCCTTAGAATAAGTCTTTCAGTTATTATATTCGAACTTTCAAACTTATAGGTATGCGCTAGGCATTGATCGTGTCCAATACGAAAATAGATCGATCCACCGCGTTTTAAATAGGACATTGCGCCTTCTGCAAGCAAACGAATATAGGCTACGATAAAATTATCTGACAATAAGTCAATCTTTACCTGTTTAGTGCATATCCCAAGTAGATTTATTAGCTGTTAACTTAAGTGGCCAGGTGTAATTTGAATTCTCCCAATGTTTAGTTGCAAAAACGTTCTTTAATCTTAATGTGCATATCGTCAGTCGAAAGGTAAATAGTTGAAAGCGCCATATAGGGCACCCAATAAGCGATTTTTAAGGTCTCATAGTAACTCTTCAGCACAATAAATATCGGATTACTGAAGCACCAAAAAAGCTCAGATCGCTACAAAACCCGGACAGATTGATGCAGGAAAAAACCAAAGCAATGATATTGAGCGCTTTAGACGTTTTACAATTTCCAGTGGCGATATGGTTATAATACTGTCCTATACGTTTATAGCAGCTTGAAACAGCATCTGAGTTGCTGGGGACAGCAACTTGACTAACTTGTGTCAACAACATGGACAGTGCCAGTGAGCATTAAAACAAAGGCACGTTTACGCAACTGGGTGATCCGCGTTGTAAGAAATACTATCTTATGGCGTAAGAAAATTTGTGATAAATGTAACTATAAGCTACTCAAACGTAATATAATAAAAAATCCTTGTGAACACATTGTAGTTTTATTTTATTCAAGTTGTAAATTTAAGGCTGGGCTACACTTGTCATCTGACGTATCACCTACACTTGTTGACTCGTTGTACATAGGGCGAACTATAACTTTCCGGAACTGGCCACTTACATAAACAACATTTAAAAAGTAATCACAACATTTGAACTCTTTGGCTGTAGAACACAGTTTGATTCATCTGACTGTCACTTGTTTTTATATTGTGGCGTCATTTTAGAAATTGGTCGTCTACATCACCATGGATTTAACTCGTGAAAATTTTCGTAGTATGATATTCTACAACTTTAAGTGTAATTCAACAGCTCAGCGAAGCTTCGCTCGGCTTCAAACTGCTTTTGGCGATGAAGCACTATGCAAGACGACTATTTATAGCTGGTTTACAGAATTCAAACGCGAACGACGAATTTCGTGATGGTCACCCGTCCACTGCTGTGAACAACAAAAACAAAGATGCTGTGTGCCGTATGATCAAAACAGACAGGCACGTGACATACCATGAGATTCGAGCATCTTTCGGCATAGGCATGAGGCAAATACAATCAATACTACACAAACATTTGGGTGTGAAATAGCTGTGCTCTCGGTGGATCCCACACAATTTGACTGAGGCTCAAAAACGGATCGCATCACTTGGTGCTATGCCATGCGTACCAGATTTAACGAAGGGGCGTGAAATTTGGTGTGGTACATAGTAACAGGTGACGAAACATGGATTTATAATTACGATCCCAAAACAAAGCAGCAATCGAGCGTATGGGTCTTTCTAGATGAGCCGAAACCAACCAAAGTGGCGCGCGTGCAAAGTGCCTCTATGTGGATGATTGCTTCTTTTTTTAATAAAACTAGACTCGTGGCTGCTGTTGCTTTGGAGAATCGTTGTACCGTGAATAGTGATTGGTACACGACCATTTGTTTGCCGGAAGTTACTGACAAATTCCATAAAAATAACCGTAAACGCCGTATCATCTTGCACCACGATAATGCCAGTTCTCACACGGCCAGACACAAACGAATTTTTGAAGGTGAACAACGTTGACCTTATGAGCCATCCCGCGGACCTTGTGACTTTTATTTATTTCCAAAAATTAAGAACCTGTTACGCGGTCAACGATTTTCATCGCCTGAAAAGGCTGTCGAAGAGTATGAAAAATATGTTTCAGAGATTGTCACGGAGGAGTGGCATAAATGTTTTCAAAATTGGTTCATTCGTATGAAAAAGTGCATTAACGCTAACGGAGAATATTTTGAGAAACAATAAATTCATTTCGGACCATTTATAGTATTTTTTTTCTTATTCATTCCGGAAACTTATAGTGCGCACGTGAGGCGCATTAACACCGTGGTAGTATTTCGTTATCCGAGACTCGACTGCATGGGTTGATAACGACTTCACGCATTAACTGCAAACACGCAGTCAATCTGTTAGCTGCCTCAGATAAGTGGCCATAAGACTGCAGCGTACTTGACTGCCCTTCAGCGTGTTGAAACAGCAACAACTACGTGCGATTCGACCACGGGTCATTAAATTACGAGATTATAATGTATAAGAGGCTTGAACTAGACGTAGTGCTATTAACCCTTATGTTAAACACATAAAACGAAAAAAAAAAGATATCACAGTTTTTTTAAAATAACTAATTATTGCTAGATCACTTTGGAAGCGAAGAGAGATTGTTGGACTGATCGTGACGCGATTTCATTGGCAATTTTCTTCATTACTAAGGAGTAACCTTATCCAATATAAAGATTTGCAACAAGTGCATGACAAATTTGTTAGGTGTACACGTTCTAAAGCCCACTTTGGCAAACATACGCTGCAACGAGTCCGGTTGGATGGAAATAATTTTTCTTCATGTTTGTTCATTTTTGTATCAACAATAACAACAAACTAGACGAGTATTTTTACAAAAAAATATATGAATATCATTATAGTAAAAACATCATGATATTCAACAATATCTATATATAAAATTTATTTGCAGTAATTAAGAAATTAGTAAATTCATTGCGCCACAACCTCTAAAGGAAAATCGCCTTTAGAGGTTTTGGTGCAAATTTAGGGTGCAATATTTATGTACCGTATGTATTTATTCAATAACAAGGTGCGAGCTACTTTATTAATAAAGTCACGGAAAGTATTTTATTGGGATACTGCCAAACTAGATTTTTTTTAAAACTAACGTACGTGGCGCCAGTCATTTGTACCGTAAGACTGGTGCCGTACAACAAAATTCTGTTTCATTTGAAACAAAGCAGACAGACAGAAAGAAATCAGACATATTTTAGTTTTGGGGCGCATTTATTGGACACAAATTTCAAGAGAGACCGCATTGAATCCGCGCAACGACCGCATGCATCTAACTGTCATGGCAAAGTACGCTCTATTTATTTAGCGTTTATGTTTTAACTTAAATGAGCATCCCGTGCGCGCGGGCGAGTCTGGCTTGTCTTTGCTCTATGCGATGAGCGCGCGGTTGTATTATTCAGAGATTTGAAATGTTGTTACCTAGTAAATAGAATTCAAATTCGCCATTAATGTACGTGAAAGCGTGGTAAGTGGGCGGTCGCCGCGCGGCTGTCGCGCGAATACCTTCGCGTCGTGTAACTGGGCGCTTAGGGTGCGGCTTGATTGTGAAAACACGTTTAGTATGAACGCGATACAAGTGGAGTCTAATCCTTACGTACTATCAAAATACCAATATTAATTCAATTGTTTAAAACAAATATTCAAACAAGTGGCGAGTTGTGACGCGAGGTGTTGACAAAGCAGCAATTAACGCCACAGAGGCTTAAATAAGGATACTAATATACACAAATTACAGATCAACAACTCTGTCGTATCACGTCGCTACAATATAGAGCAAGTTGTGCTCTTTGTGCTATTTTAATATACGTACATTTGTGCAAAATGAAGTTTATTGTGGTTGTAATTTTCATGCTCGCAACACAGGTAAGCGTCGATTTTTGTGATAATTCAATATTCACACTTTTCAGTTCGTTAAAAATCCGGTACAATAACCTTGATACATTGTTTTAGGCTTCAACCTCATTTTTGGATAAGGTTCGTGGAATATTTCAGCCACCGAAATACGACGTCGTAAACTTCGTCGCAGATGTCGTAAGCGACCTACAGGAAAGTATAGATTGCACAATTATGGCAGTTGAAAACGTATTCTCCCTTGGAGGAATGTTTGCAATCAATCCAGAGTATGAAAGAAGGTGTAAAAGCATGACGAAAGACTTTACCGTGACACCAGCTGCTGAAGACACATACTATTCACAAGAAACTGATACAAGTAACGCGCACCGCTTACAAACGTTGAAAGAAATGCGCAGGGGAAACGAAAATGCTACAAATGAAATAAGTAAACATGTAAAAGAATCTTTAATAGATGCCAGTTCTACATTAAAATTAATCGTCAAAAAAAATGAAGCCCAAAAAAAAGTACAAAATGTAAAAAGCGTTATTAAAAATGAAACAGATCGACTGGTTGTGATTAGTAAAATGATTCGCCGAGAATTAGACGACTTATCTCCGGAAACCAAGTCCAAATTTAATATTCACGACATCGATCTCGAACATGTTTCTGTTCATGAAGTATTGGGAGAAATCGGAGCTCTATACAAAGTTGAGCAGAGTGATAAAAGTAGCTCTCACGCTAATGAAATTCGTCACTTATTTGATAAAATACTAAATATTGTTCGCGTTAACAAAAATGATGATCGTGTGTATTCAGATGACGAAGAAGTTAAAGAGATAGTTAAAAACTTAGAAAAAACAGAAAACAATACGTTAATCAATACTGCGGAAAAACTATCAATATGGAAAGACGGCAATCTCCAAAACAATATTGTGCATAATGAGAATATAAACAAATTACAAAAAGAAATTGATAACATTCCAAAAACTTTCCAAGATATTGCAAAAAGAATATTTAACCAAGGAAGTGCAAACGTTATTCGGAGATCAAACGCGAGTGAAATCATAAACACACTCAACGTAACGCCTGAAGTCAAGATACAAAATATGAATGTAAGAAAGACTATCCAGAATACTGCAAAGCAGATAATGAACGAATCAAATACAATAGATATGAATCAAATATTGAAATCAAATCAGCAAGCTAGAAACATATTTAACAAATCAATAAAAGAGCAAAATAGTGACAGTTTGGAAAGCTTTCATAAAAATAAAGACAAGATATTGAAACTTTCGATGGAACAGAAACAAAATCTAAATATAACAAATAGAAGTCAAGATACAGCAATTCATGTATTGGAAGAATCTCACATAGTGGACACAGATCGGATAGTAAAATCCACTGCAGAAGCTATAAACATAATTAGTCATTCAGACAATCAACAACAAAAGTATTATATTCCTAATATGGCCCAGACAAGTGTAGATGACATGGCAGAGAAAAAATATCTAAATGTTGATATTATAAAGAGTTTCCAACACACTACAAGTCAAATAGTGGAAGAATCGAAAATACGAGATAAAACAAAAGAACATGGGCAGGCTTTTGTTTCTAATAGTGCTCCGGAAGAAAATAGCAATGCGTTGGAGGCTTCAAAGAAACAGAAAGAAAACGTAAATGTTGCAAATCGTTTCGAATCAATTAGTAACCAGGTAATGGAGGATTTGAAATCAGTAGACATTGATCAGATAGTAAAATCAGCGGAAGAAGCTACAAAAATATTCAGTCAAGCTAGCAATGACCAACAAAACTATTATGTTTCAAATATCGTCCAAACAAGCATTGATGATATATTTCAAGATTCAGAAAAAGAATTTAAAAATATTGATGTTGCCAACAGTTTCCAAAACACTGTAAGTCATATAATGGAAGAATCGAAAACAGAAAATACAACAAAAGCACAAGAGGAGGCTTTTATTTCTAATAGTATCCAGGAAAATGTTAATAATATATTTGATGACTTAACGGAACAAAAAGAAAATTTAGACCTAGCAAATAGTTTCCAATCAATTGCCAATGAAATAATCGAAAAGGCGAAACCTGTGGACACTGATAATATAGTAAAAACAATAGAAGAAGCTATAAACATATCCAGCCAATCACCTAATGAGCAACAAAAATATTATGATTCAAATATCGAGCAGGCAAGTGTTTTCCAAAATACTGCAAGTAAAATAATGGAAGGACCAAAAACAGTGGATTCAACAAAAGAACAAGAGCAAGCTTTTGCTTCTAATAGTATCCAGGAAAGTGCTAATAATATATTTGAGAATTCAAGGAAACAGAAAGAAAATGTTGATATTGCGAGTAGTTTCCAATCAATTGCTAATGAGGCAATTGAAGTGTCAAAACCTGTGGACATTGATGACATAGTAAAGTCAACCGAAGAAGCTACAAACATATACAGCCAATCCAGCAATGAACAACAAAACTATTATGTTTCAAATATCGTTCAGGCAAGCGTTGATGATATATTTAAAGATTCAGAAAAAGAATATCAAAATGTTGGTGTTGTCGACAGTTTCCAAAACGCTGCAAGTGAAGTAATGGAACTATTGAAAATAGAAAATACAACGAAAGAACAAGAGCAAGCTTTTGTTTCTAATAGTATCCAGGAAAGTGCTAATAATATATTTGAGGATTCAAGGAAACAGAAAGAAAATGTTGATATTGCAAGTAGTTTCCAATCAATTGCTAATGAACTAATCGAAAATGCGCAACCTGTGGATACTGATCAGATAGTAAAGTCAACTGAAGAAGCTACAAACATATTCAGTCAATCAGCTAATGAGCAACAAAAATATTATGATTCAAATATCGAGCAGGCAAGCGTTGATGATATATTTAAAGATTCAGAAAAAGAATATCAAAATATTGATGTCGCCAACAGTTTCCAAAACACTATAAGTCAGATAATGGAAGAATCGAAAACAGAAAACACAACAAAAGAACATGAGCAGGCTTTTGTTTCTGATAGTAACCAGGAAAATGTTGATAATATATTTGAGGATTCAAGGAAACAAAAAGAAAATTTAGACCTAGCAAATAGATTCCAATCAATTGCTGATGATGTAATCGATAAGGCGAAACCTGTGGATACTGATCAGATAGTAAAGACAATAGAAGAAGCTATGAACATATTCGGTCAATCACCTAATGAGCAACGAAAATATTATGATTCAAATATCGTGCAGGCAAGTGTATTCCAAAAGACTGCAAGTGAAATAATGGAAGAAT